TCCCTTAAACCCAAATTCTTCTTTTCTGGCCAGTCTTCTAGTGAATTTGAAAGTATTACATCCTTTTTTCCCAGAACTGATGCTGGGATAATGATGAACAGCTCACAGGAGCGAAGGAGGGTATACATGTCAGCTACTCGTCCAGCCATGACAGGACATGAAACAGCAGCAAGCAGATCCCATGACCATCAGAGGCACCATTCTTCAGATCACCTTTTCAGCACAGAGATGGATTAAGCAATAATGTTCACTAGCAAAGGCATTTCTTGGCAGCATATGGCTGTGCAAGCCAACAGAAACCGGAGCTCCCAAACCCACAGCCATTTATATCTGACATGGTCTCTCTCCATGTCAAAATACTGAAGGATCTTTTTACCAAGGCTTATTATCAAGCAGAAGTATGAAAAGACATGAGGGAATAGGATATTATTGCTGCTAAGATAACGCACACGCATGTCATAGTGTCAAGGGTTTTTCTACTGTTCTACTCGCTACCATTCTGCCAGTTCACCATGGTCCTAAAGCACTGCAAGCACCCAAGAGCAATACAAAATCCCATACCCATAGAGAGTTGTGCTTAGGGCAAAAAGAATCCCAGAAGCCTCAAATTTAGTAGAGGGAACAGGAAAAAGGCCCATGATTTTTTTGTTTCCCAGATTTGAAACACTCATCTTCTTGTCAGACAGCCTGAGTGCATCTGGAGTGCTACTCTTCCCCTACATGAGATTGCTGCAACTCTCTGTACTCAGGACAACTCCTGCACACGTTTTAGGTGCTCCAGGGAAGGTTTCATAAGCTCTTTCCAAATGCGCTTCTCTCGGAGGGATTGGACCTACTCATTTGCTTGATCGGTCACTGGGCACCCATCCAGGCACTGACTTTGACATTCCAGAGTCATAGGTGTCTTGGAAACGGCATGCCTGTTTCCCTAGACTGCTCCCGAGGTCAATGCTAACATGCAGCACTTGCACCTCTGCCATTGAGAGCTGGGGCACTGGGAAAGGGCCTTAGAGGAGAGGGCTCCTCTTATGGTTTGATGAGGCTCTCTAGGGCTGGAGTTTAAGGCAAGTCAAAAACATCTGTATGTCAGGCTCATGACAGGAGGAAAATTTGAGCGATGGCATCTGTTGATGTTATTGTAGATAACAAAAGACATTTATTTGGGCTGGCATTTATTATCATGCTATTTTTGTGAGTGGACATTGACTAATTTAATGTTTTTCATAGATTTCATAGATTTCTAGGTTGGAAAAGACCTTAGAGATCATCCAGTCCAACCGTCCCTAATCTCCCATTAAACCATATCCTTAAGTAGTTCATCCACCCTTTTCTTAAACACATCCAGGGATGGGGACTCAACCACCTCCCTGGGCAGCCTATTCCAGTGGCTGACAACCCTTTCAGAGAAGAAATATTTTTTAACGTCCAACCTGAATCTCCCCTGACTAAGCTTATACCCATTTCCTCTTGTCCTATCACCCATCACTAATGTAAAGAGCCCTTCCCCCACCTCCCCACCATCCCTTCTCAAGTATTTGTAGGCTGTGATGTATGTATGTAGTATGATTTCTATAAATCATACTTCTAACTGAGTATATATCTCTGTCATCTAGAAAATAAATGCCTTTCCAGTGTTCCAGTAAGCTTATTCCTTTTGGAAACAATTTATTTCTGACTACCAGTGAGTCACAGCGATACAGGGAATGACAAATAACAAGGATGTGCAAAACCCTCTTCAAGAAGAACTCAATAGCCAGTCAAGGTTGAGGAGAAAATAGGTAAAGATCACAGCTATCAAACAAGATCCCCATTAAAAAGCTATTGCAGCTTTCAAAGATGAGCTGAAGAGCCATATCAGACCGTTTCTTGAACTCATTAACTAAGTCATTAACCAGAAGTAATGACCTGAAAACACAGGACAGGGGAGTCCCCTGAGATTCCATTGAAGCACATGAAAACATGAGAACATGGAAAACATTGCAAAGGAAGGAACAGATGGAGACTCCTACTCAACATGAACAGGGAAGATGGGGACAGGGACTATCTCCAGCCTCTTCAAACCCTGTGGTTTGCCACCTGACCCTGCCAGCAGTTGAGCCTCTTTCATCACTTTTCTTCTTTCCTTCCACAGATTTGGTCGCAAACTCTGTCTCCTGGTCACAGTCCTCATCAATGCAGTCTCGGGAGTTCTCATGGCCTTTGCACCGAGCTACAGCTGGACGGTGATCTTCCGCCTGATACAGGGACTGGTCAGCAAGGGGGCCTGGCTGACAGGCTACGTCCTCAGTTACGGCAGCTTGCAATTACACTTGCTGGGCAGGAACCTCAAGGTTTAGCAGCAGGGCTGACCCCACTGGAGCCATCCAGCTGGAGCCAAGTGTAACCAGAGTAGACAGCGACACTGTGCTATATACCGCCAAAGTGCACCTCTTGCTTAAATGCAGGTGTTTATGACCCAAGCTTGCATCAGCTCATAGACATAAGTGGGATAATTAGGAGGCAGCTCTGAAAACTAGGGAGTGTTCATACCTGAAGAGACATGTGCCAAAACGAAGGACAAAGTCTAGAGACAAGAAATAAATGCTGCAAAGATGTAAGACACTTTTCTGGAAAAGGCAGCAAGTAGTGCTATGAGAGGTAACACTTGTGTTTCACGGCCTTTGTGCCAAAACAATTTTTACTGTGCAGTTTCACATGCTTGACAGAGAGGGATGCTCTGTTCCCAAGCCATATGGGAGGAGGGAGATGGAGACAAGCAGCTCTCTTTTATTTTCCTATTTAGTTCTCAGCTAGAAGGAATGGGAGGAAGAAAGCAACCTTTGCCCCATGTTGATGGGTGAGGGCCTGACACCCTCGAAGGCAGGGGCAAAGTCCCCAGCTGACTGATGGAGGATGAAGGGTCAGGACTTGCCCTGTGCTCTACACCGGAGACCCAGACCTGCTCTCATTTCCCATACAAACTCACATCCACACACTACACCATAAGGGCATGGCTACTCACAGGAGCTCCACATGGTTTTAGCTGGAAGGAGCTTTGGAGTCTCTCCAGCTCTCCAAACCAACTTATTTTCTCTGTGCCTCATGCAACTTGTCCTTGCAGTTGCAGAATTTGTTGGCTCAAACTACCGGAGAGCAACAGCTATCACTTACCAGATTGCCTTCACGCTGGGACTCCTCATCCTCACTGCCTTGGCTTACATGATTCCACACTGGAGGTGGTTCCAGCTCACAGTCACACTGCCCAATTTCTTCTTCCTGCTCTACTATTGGTAAGTGCCCTCTGCTATAGCTCACAGCAACGTCAAGTCAAGGACAGCGACTGTAACTGGAAGATGAGGCTTCTCAGTAGGGATCAGCCACAGTGCTACACACAGGATTTTTAAGACAACATCAGATCAGATCTGTCACTTTTCTGTTGTTCTGTTCCCCCTGCCCAGGGCTTTAGTCTGAATCACCTAAGAGCAAGAGACTACCTGCAACTTGTCGTAATGCTTCTCTGTTTGGAATCCTTGCCACCCGTCACAAACTAATCAGTCCTAATTCCTTGAACAGTGCTTGAGCTACTGTGAGAAGTGAGTTTTTCTAACAGTTGACTAAAATTACTTTTCTTTAAAAAATGCAATCAACAGACATTTGTTGAGTATTTGCAAAAAAAAAAAAAAAAAGAGTGAAAACACTCCTTAAAAAATTCCATAACCAGATCAGGGAACAGTTTTTTGTTTGGCTTTTTTTGCAAGTTTATTTTTAACATGGAGAAGCTGAAGGATCAGGTTTACAGATGTTCTTTTTTATATCCACAGCCTATTAGCCATTTCTAAAACATGTCAACAGAATTTGTCTCAGACTGATGCTTCCAAACTATAATAAACTGGATTAAGCCTTTAAAAAATTAAAAGGCTTAAAAAATTAAGCCTAAAAAAAAAAATTAAAAATTGGGCTATGTTGTCATTCAAGTGGACCACAAATCAGAGTGCAATCACTGACAGATACAGCTACCGCTGAGTTCAATACCGCCTGTGGACATCCAATACACCATAGGATCCTAGCCTGAGAAACTCAGTTCCGTTTTCGTTTTCTGTGCAACAATAACATACATTTTCTTTCCTCATAGCTGTCATGCTTATATGTGTTGCAGGTGTCTGCCTGAGTCTCCCAGGTGGCTCATAGCTCAAAAGCAAAATGATAAAGCTATGGAAGTTATTAAGCGCATTGCCAAGGGAAATAAGAAGCAGCTACCTCTCTCTTTCCAGGTGACTGCACTGCATTTGCTGCATATGTGCAAATCTTGAGGCAAATAATATTATGAGTTTAGGATTGTTTTGGGTTTAGAGTAGGGAGCAGCTTGGCCACCAAAAGCACTGTAGTTCCCTAATGCAAAGGCAAGTAAGTTTTCTGCTCTTTGACTGCCTAGGACGTTTGCAGAGCATGTTTTGGAAAAGAGGCTTGAAAAATAGCCAGCAGACAAGAAGAATTCTTCCTTTCAATAGTATAGATCAACAGTAAATTCGCCAAATCTCAATGATTTAAAATTTCAGAACATCCTTATTCATTACTTTTTAAAATGCTGCTTCATGCCATGCAACAGCCTTATATAAATGGCTACATGGATATGAAGACTCTCTATATAAATTTTCATTTTTCCTTTCCCCAAAACACTCCGGAGAAGTTATTTTGCCCTCAGTTACTTAACTGGTAAATGAAAACCCTTTTCCTCCATTAATCCATAGGAAAATATTCATTGCAGTGTTCACCATCCTCTCCCCTGCCTACTGTAATCTCTTGTCCCTCTGTCACTTGTGCTCCTAGAATCTCAACACCAAAGATGAAGATGGAGAAAAGCTGAAACCTTCATTTCTAGACCTGATCAGGACACCTCAGATAAGAAAACATACGCTCATTTTGATGTACAGCTGGTAAGGGAATGCTTTTGCAGCCCGAATGGAGGTGTGTGATTCAATGCCCTAAATCACTGTCATTGATTTAAACCTGTTCTGCTCCTGACGAGCTGCAAATCTTGGTTCTTTGCAGAAACTCTCTGCCAAAGGGTTTGGCTTCATTTGCACCCTGTTCTCTGCCCAGGTTCACAAGCTCCGTCCTCTACCAGGGGCTCATCATGCACATGGGAATAGCTGCTGGGAACATATATCTGGATTTCCTGTATTCTGCCCTCGTCGAGTTCCCAGCTGCCTTCATCCTCTTGCTGACACTGGATCGCATCGGCCGTCGCTACCCATGGGCTGTGGCAAACGTGGTGGCAGGTGTTGCTTGCCTCCTTACAGCATTAGTCCCAGACAGTGAGTCATGCAAACCTCCTCCAACAATTAATTCTCTCCATATCTCTTGGTTATTGGCCTTGAAAATGGAAAACCATTCTTGCTAACCTGGCCCTTGTTAGTATTGTGATTCAATGAAGGCAAATACCATAAAAGCTGATTTATGTCCCACCATCAGCATTTATAGCAGCTAATGAGAGGCTGGACAAATGGGGTGAATTACATTTCAAAAATGGCATCAAATCAAATGGCAAGTCTGCAGGTGCTAGATCATGAAACAAGTCACGTTAAGTTCCCAATTTTAGTCTGACCTAAAATTTGGATTTGAATGTACAATTCAGGGTTTTCATCAAAAATACCCATGTTTTCAGTTTCTAAAAAGGAAAACGTACAGGCACACACACACACACTTAAACACCATCTGGGAGCTGCTGCCATGAATGTAGGATGTTGAGCAACCACAGTAACAGGCACTTGGCTTTTGTTTAGCTAAGTGTTTGCTCCAAGGCCATATTCTCAAAGCAATGTGTCCCTTAAGGGCCACTGAATGAAACATCTTTCCTTTTTCTTTATGGAATACAACTAGACTGAAACCACAGACAAAACAGTGCCAAACAACTATCAGTTCACAGGGGAACAAGGACAAAACCACAAAATGTTATGGAAAAACATCATGGGGAAAAATAACAAAGTGTCTGGACAATAGAAACTCATTTTCACAAGCAGCTGGGGAGTGCAGGGGCTATGCAAGGGACCGCTGGGTTTTGTTAAGGGAGCGCAGGGGTGGGAGTCCCGTGGTCCTGCAACTGCTGCCTGAGCCAGGGCACAGGAAGCAGCAGCTCCTGAGTGAGCACGTTGCACCAGAGACGAGTACAGCCAGTGAAGACACTACTGCCAATGTGGCTCAATCCACAGTTTAAACCCCTCCAAGCTCGGCAGCAGCATCCACCAGCAAAGACCCCAGTCTTCCCCGCTTTCTGGAGTCAGCACCACCAGCCCCAAGCTGAGCCACCTTCAATGCCCATAGCTCAAAGTCCAACCCTCCAGAAAAGGGTTGTTTTTCACCCAGACTGGCTCTGCAGAGCTGGTGGGCAGACAGAGCCCCAGCAGGGAGGAGGAGATGGCTTGGGGCTCCCACAGCTGCAACTGCTGCAAACCACGTGCAGTGGTGGCTGGTGTCTCTGCTCTGGAGAGGCTCTGCCTCTGGAAAGGCAGCTATCAGTCAGTGAAGTACTGCCCAGGGCTTGATGCATCCCTTAGCTGGCTAAATGAGAGAGAAACTCAATGCTCCTCATGCGCTAATAGCTGAAACATCTGAAGCTGTGATCCAAGGTCAGTTTGGGATCTAAAAAACCCACGTGGCACACAGAGGTGTCCTGGACTGACTCTACATGCAGAGCTGGGATATTCATTTATTTGCAGCAGACGTCTGTAGCTCCAGGTGTAAAAGCAATTGTAGAGCACATACTGGGAGAAAGTGGGACAACGCAAACTTGTCCTAGCCTGAAAGCCATCAGAGTCTCTGTGGAAAAGTATGGAGCATCTTGCTAACAAGCAGATTTCGACTACCAAACAAAGCGGCTGTCCTTTCTTTAGTTTTAATGCAAGCAAGAAATGGTGATTTGCATAAGCTTTTGGTTGATGTATTGGATAACTCAAACTACTTTTTACCATCGGTTTCTCCTAGAAAAATCTCAAGTTATGGTTATTTGCTTGAATCCCAAGACAATTGCACTATGAAATTGAATATGCGGGTTGCAAATGAAACAGAACACCATCATGTGCTACTCTTCTGCTGTCCATTCATGACAGCAAACTTATTCTTTCCTGAAGTTAAATCTTTAATGCTGTTTTATATTAAAAAAAAAAAAAAGAAAAAAAAGAAAAATTGTAGTTTTGTATTTCAACCTTAATGTTCACAATGTCTTTCCAGCTCTTTATTGGCTTAAAATGACTACAGCTTGCTTGGGCAGGATGGGAATTACCATGTGCTATGAAGTCATTTGCCTGGTAAATCCTGAGCTGTATCCAACATTTCTCAGGTAAGTGCACCATCATCTGTTAGCCGGTAAAAGCGCTGGGTGTTTCTCCGGGAGAGACCGCAAGAGGCCGACTCAAGGCTGTGGATGCAGTTGAGGAGCATGTGGCTCATGCACTACCCTGGAAAATGAGTTTGTATGTATAAAACAAACCTTTGCAAAGGTAAAGAAGAGCTTCTGGGTGGTGCAGCAGGAACCTGCCACCTTCCTTGGGCAAATCCCTTCCCCACTTCTGAGCCCAGCAGGTTTCTGAGGGGATGTGCAAAAACCTTCCCAGACATTCTCCAGGCTCCCCTTCCAGTGCAGTTCAGCGAACCAGAAGTCAAATGCTCATTAACATCTCTCCTCCATTATGGGGCTGGTCTTAACATCTTGCCTTGTCTAACTCCCTCGCTCCTCACCCGTTTCATCTTGCATTATTTCTCCGCAGGAGAATGCTCTGCCTATGCTCTCTTTTGATTATGTTCACCGCGACAGGGGCCAGGCCTTTCTAAGTTACTTCCTAAAACCCAGGGTGTTATCTGCCTTTTCATCACTGAGGCTCATGGAGCACCCCTGCTCCCACCAGCTGGAAATCCCCTGAGCAGCGTGCTGACCTGCTCTTCAGACCCTGCTCCCAACTGCTATAGGTCCTGCTGGGACACTGAGGTGCAGAGCTGCACGAGGCGCCCCCAGGCAGAGTGGTGACATGTGTATGCACACATGTGCACACATGCGTGTATGTACGTGCTTTGCAGGAACCTGGGAGTCCTCGTCTGCTCCTCCATGTGCGACATTGGTGGGATCATAACACCCTTCCTTGTGTACAGACTAGCAGAGCTCTGGCACGATCTGCCCTTGGTCATCTTTGGTAAGAGAGCTGCCAGACGAACCAGTTGTTCACAGTCTAGACAAACAAATACCCAACAAATGAGTTGGGTGACCTATTTCCCACCTTTGAAAAAAAACGTGGAGAGATGTATATACACATGTATACACATGTAAGATATAGCTTGGTAAGTCCATTTCATCTCAGTGTTTGGAAGTCGTAGCAAAGTCACCTCTTAGCCCTTTCTGTAGTGAAGGGGACCCCATGTTTTTGAGATAGCTCTTTCAAACTTTGGCTTCCTCCTGCTGAGCCCTTCCCTAAAGAGGAAGGTCTTTGGGTTCTGCCTCTCTCACCTGCGGCATGGTTACAGCACCTGAGGATGGCCTCTTTTCTCTCCACACAAAAGTCACATTCCACCTTGTGCTGGCACCTCAGGGGGCCCAGTCTGGCAAAGATGCCATGGCAATTTAGGGTGGCAAAGCAGCATTTCAGCTGTGGCTTCACTAAGGGCAAACTGTGCCTGACAAATTTGGTGGTCTTCTACAATGGGTTTACAGCATTGGTGGATAAAGGAAGAGTAACTGATGTCATCTGCTTGGACTTAAAATTGCCAGATGGGCTGGTAGCAGCCTTTCATGCGTGTCCCTGTCCAGCCAAAAGTCAGGGTGAGAGCTAGCTAGTGTCACCCCCATCCCATATCAGCTGGACAACCAGAGCCAAAACCTGTTTCCTTTATATTGTGTGCATAAAGCAAGGGAGCCAGACCATCTCTGGATCTATGGCCCAGAATTTCTTTCCAGGCCTCAGATGCACCTCAGTAATGTCAGCAATTACTCTGAAAAATGAGAATCATGTAGATAAAAAGCCAAGTGTTATTGTCGCTCTGAGGAGTCATTTAATCATTGGGGCAGCTATGTCTCAGTGGAGATTAATTCATGACTTAGAATTAAACTCAGGCATGACTATTGCATTGCCTTTGTGATCCTTGTTCTATGTTTGCAGCTGTGATTGCTTTAATCAACAGCAGCTTGGTTTTACTCCTACCTGAGATGAAGGGAAAGACTCTGCCCAAAACCATTGAAGATGTTGAAAATCTGCACAGGTATGGCATTAAGCACCCTCCCACAGAGCACAGCAACTCTCCTTTATTTCTGCAAAATCTGCTAAAAGCAAACATTTATTTTACATCTCCGACAATCTGTTGGGCTTTGTTGTAGACATATAAATACAGCAGATGGCTGGTGGGTAACTCGTCCCCACTAGGAATATCAGGCTCTGAGCTCTCCTGTGTCATCTGAGCAGAATCCACTAACACCTCACGTGGGAGCCAGACAGTAAGAGAAGGTGTGGAGGTCGGTTGCACAGGCCATCTGAAAAGCATCAGTGTGGGCTTTGGTTGCTCCTTAGTCAGCACGTGCAGCCGCTCTGCCTTGGGAGGCAGCTGCCAGCGCAGGGAAACGTGCCCTCCCTTCCACAGCCAGTCACTGCCAGCAGCTGAAGGTGGCTTTCAAACAAGAAAGCACCTTGGCACGGTGGCAGGAGCTTTTGGCAGCTCATTCTGCCATCCTACCTGCCCAGGGAAGGTGAGGCAGAAGAGCAAAGGCACAACTCCTAGAGGAAAGGCGAACAGGTAAATGGTATGGAAACCCTACTCAAGCTGGCTGTTATATCTGTGTAAAGTAAAGCTGGGGAACAACAACCCTGTTTCATCCTGAAAACTTAGTGGTCCCATCTAAGCATCTGTGGCTGCCAGCTGCACACTGCATGTGCCCAAGGATGCTCACCACCCTGGTCTCACCTGCCATTCGCAGCTGTGCCAGTAAGGGGCCTGCTGATGTTCCCAGAGGTGTTCACATCTGACAGTGAGAAAGCTGTCTGAGGTGTGGTTTTAAATTTGGGGAAGTAATGCAGGGAAAAGGACCCAGCCTGGACAGAAAGGAATGATAAATAGTTTATTTTAAAAAATTAAAGGAATTATCTCCATGTTCTGACTTCCGAAGATGCCCCCAACTAAGGATGCATTTTGCCCTGGATCTGCCTTTGTTGGGGCAGGGAGGCAGAAGCGAGTTGGCAGCACAGCGTAGAGCATGGAAAGGTTGCCTCTAGGAAAAGTTAGGAAGTCCACACATGCAACCACACACCCAGGCGTTACTTTAGAAACCACCTAGAATAATAGCTTTTACAGTAGGAAACATCACAATTAAAGTTACTAATGCTACTCTTGTGATAGAATTTCCAGACAGTAATGTAGCTGCAGTGAGGACCCAGAAAGTCTCCAAAATAATCTAACCTCATTTGAAAAATCGCCAGTAATGAAACATCCATTAATTCTTGTTTTCAATGAATGTAAGCACATGGATTATTTGGTGGATCATGCTGTTAGCCACCAGGAACATCATTTGCCTTTTCCCTTTTCCTTTCACAGCCAGGAGAGAAGCAAAGAAAAAACTATTTATCTCCACGTTCTGACTTTCGAAGATGTTCCCAACTAAGGATGCATTTTGCCCTGGATCTGCCTTTGTTGGGGCAGGGAGGCAGACGGGCAGCCCAGCCGTAGCAAGCCCAGCCCCTGACCCCACATGCAGAGAATGAGCCAGGCCAATGCGGGGATCTTTTTCCCATTGCCCTCTCCCAGCTGACAGCAGTTTGTGGCCTGGGCACTTTCCAAGCCAGAGGTCATCTGCCCACATTTCTATCCCTCATGGACCGCCCTTCCGCAAATTTTTCTGTTTGCCTTCCGAGCACATTCTAGTGTCCCAGGGTATCTGGCAGCAGTGATTCATATGGCATGAGTGGGAAATTCATGAAGGAAAGCTTTCTTCTGCTTGTTATAAAACTAAAAATCTCTTCAGACTGCTCGCTCATAGCTCATTTCTGTAGTGAGCGCAACTGTCTCCTCCAGGCTACATGTGATTCTGCATGAAAGGAAGCACGTAGACAGTAACTAATTCCCTGACATAATTCCTCTGGCATCCCTTAAAATCTTGGTGCTGTCAGTCGGTCTATAGCTCCCGATGCCCAGCAGATTGACTTTGAGAGGCAGCTCCAGCTCCCCAGCAGCAGAGCCCACTTGGGGAGCCTGGGGCATCCAGAACCCCCTCTTCCCTCCCAGTTTGCCTATCTTGTTCCAGACAAATAAGCGGAGGAAAAAAAAAAAAAAAAAAGAAGCACTTCTAAGCTGAGACTGGCTTTTAAGCTTTGGCATCCCAGAATTTGACTGGCTATTAGGAAAGGTAGACAAAAAAAAAGAAAGGTGAAGAGGAGATGGAGGCAGCAAAGCCTCATGACATGGGGTGGGGGGTGGGGAGGGTGCATTGTTAGGGATCAGTGATGGCATGGGGGGAGAAAAGCCCATCACAGACACCCATTGGGACCAGCATGAACAATAACAGGACACTGTGCATATTAAAGCATATTCATGTTTGCATTTACACATTTGTTTTCCTAATGCCATGAGTTTGGTTTTTCACATGGCCAAGCTTCAAAGGAGCTGTGAGGGATAAAGACTGAGGCAGGGGGAAAAGATGAGCCAAAAAAATGATATGGCTTTCTAAGCAGATGACCCTGAATAACATGCTGGAAAATCACTGCTCTAGTGCTTTTGGAGATTGAAGGGTCCTCTCCACAGCACTTGGGAAGCATTCAAAAAGTGATTCACATCATATTCATCAACTTGTGTATATTTTTTTGGAGTTGGGTTTGTCACCTGACCAGTCCCAGTTCTGGGAAAAGGCCCAATTTCTTCATGTTTTAAAACATTTACAGACTGTAGGATGACACAGCGTCATACAGTAGGGATGAGATTGAGCAAGTTGCAAATAAAATCTAGCACATGCATTGTTTTGATCACACAATAAACAGGGGAAGCTGGAAACCGTGTAAGCTTTGTACTGGCTTGTAGGATATGATTTTCTGCCAATTCATGAACATGAACACACAAGAACACCTTAACAGAACAACATTGTTGAGATCACATCTCACAGACTATAAGCCTTAATGAGTCTCTGATACATGACAGAGCCCGTAGCCATCTTTGATGGGATAAAATTAACACTGGGGTCTCCAAATAGCAGCTATGCTGACATGGTGGTGTTTGGATGTCAGTGCTGACAGCAACAGCAGAGGACAAGAACAGTGCTTAGAAAGTGCTACCCTGGACCACATCTGCAGCCAGGCTGCCCATCAGACAATGCCAGGGAGAACACTAGAAACTTTGTAAAAGTAAAGAGCAGTTCTTTCCAAACCCCGATTACTGAAGGTTGGTAGGTATCCTGAAACATGGAGTTTTTATGTTCTCTTTAAGCACAATCCTCATATTTTGATTTTAAGTAGTTGGGAGGGGGACAGGGTCATCTTAAAAGGCCAGTCTCACTTTCAGTAACCTGGACATAGCCATGTCCAGGTGCTTCCTGAGTTGCCCGAGCCAGTCAATGGTTGGGCCCTGAGGTGCTCATTTCCAAGCTTCAGGGACAGCCCTGCCATCAACCTGGTTGCACTCCAGCAGCCCCAGGAGTGGACAAGCTTCAGCTGCTATTACTCGAAAGGGAAGCTGGCAAACTGCTGTTTCATCTAAGGCAGGATGTTAGACAGCTTGTCTCATACCCTGGAGCAGACACACTCCTACCACGTGCCCAGGACATGAAAGCTCTCTGCACTTTGGGAGTAACTATGTGCAGCTGGATCAAATTTGACATATTTCATCAACTTCTTAACTCTAGGAAGTAATACATTAATTGACAAGGTCACTAGCAAGGAAAGCAATAAAGCATGCTTGCCCTTGTGCTCATTAAGGTGCCCCCAGAAGCAAATGTCGATATAACTTGTAGGTGACTGCACAGTGAAGGCACACCAGACCCTGCCACCTCTGCAGCTCCTGCTGTGGCAGTAGCAGTGCTTATGGAAAAAAATGCCAGCATGATGGGTAAGGGTCTTGAGAGTCAGCTTTTGTAGTTACTCCTTTATTCATCCCAGTATTGGTTTTGCTTGGCTTCTTGGCTCCTCCCCCATTTTTTTCCTGCACAGAGTTTTCAACAGGTTTCAAATCAACAAAGTATAACAAAAACAGCTGTTCTGCCAGATTTCTTTTGTTGCAGAGTGGAGACATCTCTGCAATCACAGCAGGACACCAGTCCCGCAGGACACATAACTACATCCCCACTGTCCCTCTTGCCTGTCTCAGGACCAGATTGTTCCTTTCTGATCCTGATCCCAATATTAGTTTTGCAACTGCTTGGGCCAAAGTCACATCACTCCAGATCTGCCCTTACCTTCTCAGAGCAACCTCATCATGGCACTGTTTCGCTGGACAACACGCTCTCATGCCTTTGAGGCCCTCACAGCAACGCTGAACATGAACTGGGTCTCAGGCCAGTAGAGAGCAAGGGCAAGACCACCATACTGCCATACCAGGAAGCAATCCTGTGGGAACAGCACTGTCTGCAAGAGTTCAGCAACACTTTGCTTATCTGGAAGCTCTCTCCCTGCAGACGATCATTAAATGGCAGCTGTATCTTGTGCCTTGCATACAGCATCCTTATCGAAAACCAGCATTCCCCAACAATGCTAGGAACTGAGAAGACCGAAACTGTGACTGAGAGCTGTATCACCATTGTGGCTGTTTTCCTCTGCAACCTCAAGACTGTTACAGTTGCTAAGTGGGAAGGACTAGGAAAATTGTGAAAGGCGCTGGATATTTCTTGGCAAACCCAGCGTTGCTCCAACGCTCCCCAGGGCACAGGACCCCTGGCCAAATCCTAGCTCTGAGTCCTGCAGATCCTGAGCCCAGCTCACTCCAAAGTGATGCCCCTGCAGGACTGCCCCCTCCAAACACATAGCGATACAGCTCTGGCCTGGCCCCAGAACCATCCTAAGCCTCCAGTGCTGCAGAACTCTGGTGGAAACTCAGTTCCCTGGCAGTTGTAACATTTTTCCCACCCTGACTGGAGTCTCAACATATTTTTAAAAAAAATTTGCATGTCTGTGCATGCACACACTTATAATGCTACGGAGGCTTAGGAAAACACTTTTGTACAGCAAAAAAAAGTATAGATTATCCACTATGAAGATGTTAAGACATGAAGATTTAGTGATTACACACTGAAAACTGAGCAAGGCTATTACTCTATTAAAGACTATGAGTCTTTTTCCCATGCACCTCTTTTCATGCTCTGGAGTTGCCACATGCCCATCTTTGTGAGTTTGAGGATAGCCAATAAAATTCCCCATGAGGACCTACTGTAAAGACACATGGACTCACATGAACATCATAACAAATAAGGGCTAGCAAAAAAAAAAACAGTGCAAATTTGTTGCAAGTTATACTAAGACTGTAAGAGGTTTGTAGTCATCTTGGCTCCATAACAGAAATAAACCTCTGTTATATTATGTTACCCCTTCATAAGACAAAACAACAAAGTCAGATTTCATGGAGGCTTATAAAGTTTTGTTGGGATGGAACCCACCATCCCCAAGTTAAGATCTGCCCTCATGTTGAGGTCCACACAGCTGGTACAAAAAGGTCCCAGCTCTGAAACGTATTTATACTGCAGTGTACAGAGAGGGAAGCAGCTATACAGTAACAGGGGCAATCCCACCAGAAACCTCCAAACATATAAACAAAGGATAGGCAGACAAAAAAAGAAGCAAGACAGGAGAGAGTATTTATTCCAATCTGCCCTTCCGTGCTAGCATCTTAAAGCAGGCTACCCGGAAAGAGTCATGTCTTCTTCAGTCATGTGCTTCTTCTGACATTTGGACATGGAGATAGATCTTTTTGGCCTTTGGAGAACTTTGCCTGAAAGAATAACAAGATATGAGCTGCAAACTAGGAATGAAGGTGTTCAGTGAGCACGAAGTTCTTCACTTCCCTGCCTCTTCCCTAGAGAAAATGAGCAGCTAATTCTCAAATCCTCTAGATTTGTTCTGGCTTCTCAGTTGATACCAGTGCTTCACTCACCACATGAGTAGCTGCTATCAAGAATGCCCTTTTTCTGTTCCACAAGATTAGTTAGGATTTTTTAAGCACAAATAACATTTATAATAGTGTTGCTGCAGGTTTGAGAGACTATGCAGCTGTTCACAGGCCAGTAAAGGCCTATGCGGCTTGTTTTCAGATGCCTAGGTAGACAAGTGGTAAAAAGAAAATCTCTCTAGCTACAGTCTTGGAATTAACTAGCAGCTTCTTGGAAGCGTAGGAGGCAGCCAAGTAACCCCCAGGCTTCCCCAGGGAGCTGGAGTTCTGGGCAGGGATTTTGCACAATTTCAAGGGAAAACTGCAAAGAGTTCATTATCCTGACTCACCTGTGAAAGTTTTCAACATCTTCAACAGTCTCAGGCAAAACTCTTCCTTTAGTTTCAGGTAGAAGCAAAACCAATCCACCCGCAATCAAACCAAGAACAGCTTCAAATCGAACAGGTGCACAAAGCATATGTTAGCATATTCCGATTTCCAGCATACACGTCACGTGCTACTGTCTGGCATAAAGGACTCATA